AAAAGAAGTAAAATAAAGTAGCTCTTCCCATAGCAGCCTGAGGTGATCTACCAAAATGCTCTGCTACTCACTTGACAAAAAAACCCCACAAAATCCTGAAAATCTAGAGAGTTGAATCTTTGAGCCCATTTTAAGAACACCTGTGACACTGCCCAGGTCATCAAGGGAATGCCTATCCGGGAAGTCACCAAGTATTTGAAAGATGTCACTCTTCAGAAGCAGTGTGAGCCCTTCCAAAGTTACAATGGAGGGGTTAGTAGGTGTGCCCAGGCCAAATAATGGCACTGGACTCAGGGTTGGTGGCCCAAAGGGAGTGCTGAAGTTTTGCCGCATATGCTTACAAATGCAGAGAGTAATGCTGACCTTAAAGGTTTAGACGTGAATTCTCTAATCAATGAGCACATCGGGTGAACAGAGTCTCCAAAGTGCGCCACTGGACTTAGAGGACTCAAGGCCATTGGCTCAAGCCATACACAAACTCCCCCTACCACACTGAAATGATCGCTACTGAAAAGAAACACATTTTTCCTAAACCAGAAGAGGTTGGTTGCACAGAAAAAAGATATCCCAGACGAAATTGATAGCAAAAGCACAAACACCAAGAGAAAATAGATAAATGGGACTCAACAAAATTTAAAATGTCTGTATATCAAAAGACTTTATCTACACAGTGAAACAGCTCACAGAATGGGAGGTCATTTGCAGGAAACACTTGCCAGGTAAGAGTTTAATATAAAAAGTGAAACAATCTAATTTTTAAAATAGCCCAAGTACCTGGATTGACCTTTTACCAAAGAAGATATACAAATGGCCAATATGCACTAAAATTAAAAAAATAAAAAACAAATGCTATTGAGGATAACATATAACAAATTTTAAATGAGGATGTGAAGAAATTAGGATAGTCGTCCACTGCTGATGTGAATGCAAAATGCTACTGACACTCTAGAAAATGGTATGGCAGGTCGCAAAAAATAAACAAATAAATAGATAAATAGAGAGCTGCTGTATGATCCAGTCATTGCGTTTTTTATTGATTAGTGAGACTTGAAAACAATATATATAAACAGACATGTATATTAATGTTCATTGAGGCACTGTTCATAATAGGTCAAAATGAAAAACACAAATGACCATCAACAAATGAGTGGATAAACAAAATGAAGTACTACATATACACAACGGAAAATGATCCTGCCATAAAAAGAAATTAAGCCCTCATACATGCTATAACACAGTTTGAACCTTGAAAACCCTATGTTGAGTGAAATTAGTCAAGTGTAAGGGGCAAATCGTGTATGGTTTCACAAATATTTTAAAAACCTAGAATAAGCAAATGTATCTACAGAGATTAAAGTTTAACAGTAATTACCAGGAACAGGAGAAACAGGGTTAGTTAGTATACAGTTTTTTGTTTTTAGGGAGGGAAAAATTTGCGGCAGAAATTGGTAATGATTATACAACATGATTGCTATAATTGGCTTTACTGAACTGTACATGTGAAAAATGTTAAATGAAAATGTGGTATATTCTATTTTGACCAAAATAAAGAGGGTCCATGCCACAAAAAAAAAAGTATTTGCAATTATCTGCATGGGGGTTATATCTAATATCACCTGGCTTCTCTATTGCCAAGAGGCAGGGGTCCATGCGCCATCCTTCGTTAGCTACTCTGATACCAACCATTCCTTCAAGGTACTTCACTTTTTTGCACGATTTAATAATTTGTTGGAATGGCCATAGAGACTCACAGACATGCTCACAATTATGGGGCTTATTAAAGAAATTAGGTTCCCACAAGTCAGGATCAGTACACAATAAGGATACAGTCACTGGTCCACAGCAACATCTTTCCTTGGCCAGCCTCTCTGTGGTCTTCAGCTTCTCGGCCTCTTGGACCCATGGCCTCTGCTTTTCTGGACCAAGAAGCTGGCCTGTTGCTCTGTCTCACAGTTCTGTAGTCTTAGCACTGCTCTTCTCCTGTCCTACAGTCTCCATGCCACAGTCTCTGGGGCACCTGTCTTGGCTTCTGTCACTTCAGAGACCTGAAACATACCCTTCCAAGAGGTCTTGGGTTTCTCTCTGCTGCAGCTGCTTAAAGAGCCTCAGCCAAAGAGGTGGTAACAAAAACTGACCAAGCCCCTCTATTAGTGGTGCACATGCCCTGTCTGTGTGCCTACCCACCCCCCCACCCCCAATCATTTCCTGGGAGTTTCAGAGACTTGGCTAGAGGAGTCATCTTAAGAAATTTTCAACCGATTACAGGGAACTGTGTGTGACCTCCTCCCTG